TCACACAGTATATTAAAGATCTTTAAACTAGCAAAACCGTTATGGTTAGAGAATTTACTCAGTAATTCAAATAATGGAGAGAAAAAAACAAAATGCAACATAACTATTGAAATTCTTACCTTTAATTTAAAAAATGGTAGTCAGTCATCTTTTTCATTCAACTATGAAGATTTCTCGTTCTTCTCCATTCAGTGCGGATAGAAAATGGGTCCTCGGGCTGTGCACCTCATGGCAGATGCGCAGGGTCACCTACTCAACTAAGCAGGGCCTACTTTGAAAACTTTATGGACATCAACCAAAATCAAATAAATATATCTAACAAAATTCAGATGTTTAAGTAATACTTGAACACTCAAATAAAAGACAATTCTTTTTCACGTTTGCATAACGTGAACTTCATAGACAGATTTCAGAACTATCTGAGAGTCATGGGTCCTCTGTGAATGTAGACAAATTTTCAAATGTTTGAGTTCAGCTCATGAAAAATGGGAGCAAAAACAAAGTGATTTGAATATATTTTTGTTTGGTGTAGAAGACTATTTTTCTTCTTTGGACCATTTGGACCCTGCCCAGGGTTCGATTTTAGGCCCGGTGCTTTTTAATCTGTATATGCTTCCACTTGGTGGCGTCATCGGACGACACAGAGTGCAATTTCACAGTTATGCAGATGATACACAGTTGTACATCTCTGTGTCTCCCGATGACGCAAGACCATTGGATGCCCTTTTTAATTGTATTTCGGATATTGAATCCTGGATGTCAGAAAACTTTCTCCAGCTTAACCGGGACAAAACCAAAGTTTTAGTCATCGGTCCTGAGACCCAGAGAGAGAAACTTTTACCAAAGTTACAGTCACTAACTCTTAATCCGTATTCTCAAGTGAAGAACCTGGGTTTGATTTTTGACTCTGAGCTAACTTTTATTTCCCATATTAAGAATATTACAAAAATTGGTTTTATCACCTGAAAAACATCGCCAGACTCTGCCCCTTTCTCTTTCTGGCCGATACAGAGACGCTGATGCACGCTTTTATCACCAGTAGAATTGATTACTGTAATGCCCTGCTTTCTGGTCTTCCCAAAAAGAGTACCTCAGGTTTACAACTCCTACAAAATTCAGCAGCTCGTGTCCTGACTAAGACCAGGAGGCAGGAGCACATTACACCACTCTTATACAAGCTGCATTGGCTTCCTGTACGTTTCAGGATCGATTTTAAGGCTCTTTTAATGGGTTTTAAATGTCTTAATGGTCTTGGGCCTTCTTATCTCTCAGAACTGTTTCATAAATACGGGCCTTCGCGGTCCCTGCGCTCCTCTGACAGCCATCTCCTCATCATTCCAAAAGTCAGGACACACTCCCAAGGCGAGGCATCCTTCCAGTTTTATGGCCCTCGCCTCTGGAACAGTCTGCCAGAGGACCTCAGGGCCATAGAGAGTGTTCTTGTTTTTAAGACCAGGCTCAAGACTCACCTTTTTAATATAGCTTTTAAGTGATTCTGATCTATTTTAGCCTGTTTTTACCTTTTTATTTATTTATTTATTTATTTTTAACATATATTTTATCAGTGTTTTATTACTTACTACTCTTAACTAAATAACACATATTTTTTACATATTTATTTTAACTGGTCATAATTATTAGTTTTAACCAGTCTTAAAGGAGCATGGGGCAGGATGAAGAAACGAAACTCATTAGCGACGCACTCGGCGCTGTGAGTAACTGCAGCCCGGCACGAGAGCGCGCACAAACTCTTCACTAGAAAAAAAAGTTTCAGTGATGTACGGCCAGAGCGCGGCTCGAACAAGGCACCGTGTCGAGCGATGAAGTAAGTAACATTGTTACTTTAGTCTAATATTTGTAAAATTCCATGACAACGTTAGCATTTTAATTTAGCCATGACACTCGTGATGTAAAGCAAGTGCTCCTTCCTATGAAATATTCATAAGCCAGTTTTGTGACTGGCGAGCAAGACAGTAACATGATGCTACTTTATCAGCATAAGGCTTTGTGGCTGCAGGTGATTTCTGATGTTTTTAGAAAAATTACAGCTATTATTTTGCACTAAGCTTACTAACAAGCTAATGTTATTGTTTATACATCATGTAAGAACATCCAATTTCAAGTCACTGACATCATTTGTGAAACCAATTTCATTACAGGACAGGCATCACAACAATGTAAATAAGAACATAAATATCAATGTTTAGTTCAATAAATGCATCAAAATAAAATCATAATATCAACAAGACCTACAGTGTAATACAGTCATTTTTATCATTACTGTCATTGATTTTCAGGAATTCACATTGGAAGGAAAGGGCAGTACTGGAAAGGGGAGAGGAAAAGGTCGCTCCGAGGGTCGGGGAAGGACACGCTCAAGGGGTGAGGGCAGCAGGTTGATGTCCAGAGCTCCTTCAAGAGGACCAAGGCACCGGGGTAGGCAGCGAACAGCTTTCAGAGAAGAGGACCGAGACCGGTTTGCAGAGCTGAGAGCTGCCAGTATAGCTGAGATGCAGGTTGGTTGTAGCCATCTGTGTAAAAAAATAAAATAAAATAATAGAGAGATGCCAAAAACGAAAACATCACTCACTGGAGATATGAATGTAGTCATGTAAACATATGCTTTTTAATTTCTAGACAGCTTTACAACACCTGAGCCAGGAGGAGAGAGATTATATTCTCGAGAGAGTGGTGACCCGTCTTCCAGGGGTGATGCTGGATATCCTGGAGTTTCGGCAAGACACGCCAGGACACCGTCTTCCTGACTGAGGGCACCCTAACCCAAAAATCCAAACCGTTTATCTACAACTACAGTAGTTCCAAAACAGCACAATACCTCAAAATAACTTTAGCTGAAGACAGCATTTTCACCCAAAAATAAACAAACAGTTTGTGCAATATATTTATTTTTATTTATGTACAAAAAAGTTCTGTTATTTGCATTTGTACATAGTATTTTTTCTTAATTTCTAATAAATCTGTGTGCATGAAAGAAGTCATTCCTGTCTTTTGATGCTTCACGTAGCTGGGGCCTTTATGGAGAGAGGAGAACAGCAGCATTAGATCATACATAGATTACATGAGAATGCAGTTCTGGAAACTCTCCAGTTCTGAAGTTGACCTGTAAAAAAAACAAAAGCTACAACTTTATAGATTATTAGGAATCACACTTTTGATTGCCTTTTCACCCACAATTGTCATTTCTATATGTAAATTATCAGCTTTGATATTGACACTTTAGCGTTTTTGCTCATGAAAATGTTATTAATATACCTAAAGGTCAGATACTTGGTGACATCCTTCAACCAGCGTCTGTTGAACATGATTCGTTGAAGAGCCTTGTGTGGTGGAGATCATGGCACCATGAGCTCTTTATCACTGGTCGTTGCATCAAGTGGTCCATAGTCACATTTGCCACGGGTCCATTCATACTTCCCTGTGACATGGTGAAGCACACCCACCCACATGTCCTAACAGAAAAAATAAGTTTTATTTGAAAACTTTACATGTGACAGAAGCGCTCACCAACAGAAACACGAGAGCTGGCACTATTATGAAAAGAAAGGTAATTATGTCAATGTGCATTGTTGTCTTGTTGTCCAAAAGATGTCTCAATACTTACATTAAACATATCACGATGTTGTGCTTTCTGGCAAATGTACCAAAATTGGTTGATGATGTCCTTCAGCCACACAAGTAGGATGGAAATTCCCTTTAGGATCCCAGCCTGTGAACAAGGATAAAACAACAATTCCATCTCTTAGTTCCTTTTAAAACATAGAAGGGTTTTATTTACCTGCAACGTTTTGTTTGCGGCTGCAAACTTCGTCAGCCTGACAAAGTTTTCATAACAGTTCTATTCTGTTATGAAAACAATAAATAAAAGTAGAATTAATATATTGTTTTAAGACTTTGGAGTTTAAAAAAGGGTGTAGATAATAAGACATTGCAACTCACACACTGTTGAGTAAGTTGTTTGCTTGGTCCTCATCAATTCGGACTGCATCCGTAGCTAGATCCATTGAAACTACAGACAACACAATAATATTTGTTGTACGTAAAGATAAATACTGGAACTTACCTGAAATGGTACTGATTCTAAAGAGATAAATGTGGAGCCTAATACATCTGTCATTAATTCTTTCTGCAAATAACAACAATCTGCCGTGAATTGACACTTCACAACATAAATAAATATATATAATGACCTATATTTGCTTATCTATTGTGTTTTTATCTTTTTTGCACATAGTACAGCAGTAATTTCCTGCATATATGGCAAAACTTCTCATGAACAAATTTACCTTTCTTCAAAAGGATCCAAATCTTGGTCATCAGCTAAGGCCTCAACACCAGCCATTAGAAAATCTTCCCTGTAAAGATAATGTCAGAAGTGTTTGGTGGTGTGATGTTAGTTCTGAACCAAGTGTGGATATGCAAGGTGTAATTTAATGTATGAAATATCATAGCACAAAAACGTGAATATTTGTTTTACAGAAAAGATACTAACCCCTCAGACACAGGTTCAGTTGGAGATAATCAATGCGACATTTTAGCTGCTGTTCTCTTACTGGGTGTCGAGGTTGACTGCACATAACCTCCCTGAATTGCAGTTTCAGGAGCCTGCTTCTTCCGGTAGCTGGAAAACACATTTTTAAACAAAAATGTCAACAAGTTGGTTGAGACTCTACACCTTATGTTTACATAGATCAATAATGGCTAAGCACAACTAGTAATATGAAAATGCATGTCAGTCATAAATTTTTTTTATCATTTTCACAAACATATTTTATTCTGACCTACATTCAACAGGACAAATTTAGAAAAATAAACACAAACTTCTGCACAACTTTACTTTTAGTAAAACATGTAGTAAAGGGGGACTAGTTATTTACTCTTTTGTAGCACAGCACTAACGTTAGGAAAAGATATTCCAATGGGGTTCTGTTACACAAACCCCACGAATAACATTATCTACTGAAGTAACAGTCCTGCTTAGAGGTTGGACTGTAGATCAAATATGACATAATTCTAAAGACTCATCTTTGGTTTGGAAAATGTCCGTTCTCTTCTGTGGTACATACAAACCGTTAGCGTGATCACAGCTAACATGCTAACACACGCTAGCTCTCTCCGGCTGATCGGTGACGTCATATAATCAAATCAAGCTCTGTTTACTTTTCTCGTCAGAGTAAACGGAGCATCCATTTATCTACAAACACATGCGGTGTGTCGTCCACAAAACGTAGAAGTGATCGATTACTCTTTAGTTGCTTTTAGCTTTTTCAAACTGATCAGGAAGCCATATGCTAAACACCTTTAGCTTAGATAAGTTTCTTGTTCATCTGCACAAAGATTTGTTAATTACCTAAATCAGTATTATCTAAACGTTAATATTCTATAAGAGCACATAAGGTGAGCAACACCACATATTATTGTTATTATTGTACATTGTCCTGGATTTGTTTTCTTTCTGCATCTCCTCATTAGCCTGGCTGATCACCTGATAACTCCTGTCATCTGGTTGTGACAGCATGAGGATGTCCTCACACACCTGTAACCTATCAGCTCATCTGGCAGAATAGAGAGAGAAGAGACAACACCAAATCTCCTGTTCCTGGAAAGCCTTCAGCCATCCTTCGATGACTGAGAACCTCCATCAGCTCTGTCTCCTGTCTGCCTACAATTATTATAATAAATATTGTGTTTGACAAGTTTTTTGTGCTGCCAAATATCTCATTTAGATTCCAGTTTTGATATTTTAATGGATATTTATAAATTACATTGATTATCACATTGTTGCATGTTTAACTAGCTCTATTGTGATGAATTAAACTAGCACCTCACTGTTAAAAGCTCGTTTTAATTTCAAGCATGTTTAAGTATTTATGGACATGAACAAAAACAGGAAATATATAAATTGAGATTTATTTAATTAATATAACAAATAAGGGGGAAAGAGTCATTGAAAGGCACATTCTTCTGGAAGCTCCTGATCCTGACGACACCAGCAGGAGACCAGCTGCAGACACCAGAGGATCACCTACAACCAAGAGAGCAGCTAGTATCAGTAAATAAATAATGAAATCAGGGCAGTTTTAGTGGGCTGAACACATTACAGAATAATTTTCTCATGGGGTAGTTTCATAACTTTCTATGCAGGAGATTGTAACTTGAGCCCAGGGCTCCTGGAGACCTGCTATCCAGCACGTTTCAGTGGTTTTTCTTGCTTTAACAGGTTAGATTTGCTGTTAAGCAGCTCAGCTATTTTTTGCTGATTAAAACCAGGTGTGTTGAAGCAGATAAACCTCTAAAACATGCTGAATACTAGCTCTCTAGGGCCGTGGAGCCAAACCCTGCAGCTAATCTAATGCTATGGCTAACGGCTACTTACCATTCAGAGCTGGTTCTGTTGGGTCGGTTCCGGTAGATTCGGGCAACTCACAAGCTCAAAACAATAAGGCTCAGGTCCGCTTGTCTCCTCCAAATAGACTTGGTCCCTTTCTTCTCGAGTGTCTGGGTAAGGAGGGGGAGAAACGTCCTCCACTTCTAATGACTGCTCAGAGTGACGGGAGCTAGCATCGTCTAGTTAGCCATCGTCTTTGTCACTGCCGCAGCTCCGCCCTCTCGGTCCTCCAGGCTACGCCTACTAATGTTGCAGTTTTTAAAATTGATATGTGGGTGGAGTAAGAGACTGAGGGGGGCATTACCACTTTTTAAGTGCATGAATAGAGAGAGAGAGAGTGGGGGGGAGATCTTTTCTATAGCGCCTCTCAAGATAAAAATCACGGGGCACTTCACAAAAACAAAACATGTAAAATAGAAAAAAAAAGAATTTAGAAAATGATTAAAATATATTTAAAATTAGCAAAAAATAAGACAATTGTGATTAAAAAATGTAAAGAAAGAGAGAGAGAGTGAATAGGAAAGAGGGAGTGGATACTGAGGGAGGAGAGAGAGGGAAAAAAAACTGATCGGAGTGGAGATAGTGACTGACGCAGCACGAGCTGTTTTCAGCTCTGTCTTGTCAAATGCACCACGTACGTTACGAAAAATTTTACTTTAAATATCTTTAAAGTTACTTTAAAAAGAGGTGAACTGAAGAAAACATAGGGAGTTCTGAAGAAACGTGAGCAACAGTGAAGCAAGCACAGAGAGATTCGTTTCTGTCTGTCTGTGTGCGTGGATGGACCAGACGCGGGCTGAGCTATGAGCTCCCGGCTGCAGAGTTTTGTATGTTGGGAGGGGCGGGCGCTCTATTTGACTGGCCAATCACAGAGCGTGAAGACAGTCAGTTACCCAATGAGGATTTTCCTTCAGCACGATTACAGATATTTACGAGTTTTACTCGTTTCATGCTCGTCAAAAATGCTTTATCCGTACCGGATACTCGTCTGAAACGAGTATCCGACTCATCCCTAGTGTTTTCGTCTTCTTTATATATATTACATCTGCACTCAGCCAACTGCCCTTTCTTTATTATGTGTGTGCATGTGCGTGTGTGTGTGCAGGATTTTGCATCTGCTTGGGACGGGATTGAGGGTGGGAGGAGGGAGAAACAAAGGGGATGTGAATGTGAATCTGTGTGGGAGGGGTGGGAAACCGACTGCTGTCTGGTTGTTTTTAATATTGTAAAGCGCTTTGAGCTGCATTTGCATGAAAAGCGCATCATTAATAAATTTCGATTGATTGATTAAAGTCTTTTTTTTTATAATATTCTTAAATACCTGATTTGTTTTTTAAACAGCTGAATTCCATGGAATCTGGGAAAGTCTTGTGTATGAGACTGGAGTCAAAACAAAGGTATGTTAATTAATTGCTGCTGAAGAGTGAGAGAATAATTATTTGTCATTACTTACTTCTTTGATATTTCCTTTCAGCTTCTGGATTATGTCACAACAACAATGTACTTCTCAGACAAAAATGTCAACAGCAACCTGATTTCTTGGAATCGCGTTGTTCTGCTTCATGGTGAAGATATTTGATTTATCTTAATGGCTTGATCAGATAGTGTTTATAACCAGTTAAAAATAACTGATTTGTCTCTGGTTTCTTATTCAGGACCTCCAGGCACAGGGAAAACATCACTGTGCAAAGCTCTTGCCCAAAAACTTTCAATCAGACTGTCTAGTCGGTGAGACAATAATCATTTCTTAGAAATCAGCTGTAGCTGTACCTGCTCGTCTCCTTTCACAATATGATCTCCCTACAGATATTCTTATGGCCAGTTTGTGGAGATAAATAGTCACAGTTTGTTCTCAAAGTGGTTTTCAGAGGTAGGTCGTTTTTGTGCAAATAATTATAATTTTTCTCTCATCTAATTAAGTGTCTTCATTGCAGAGTGGTAAGCTGGTCACAAAGATGTTTCAGAAGATCCAACAGCTGATTGATGACAAAGATGCCCTTGTGTTTGTTTTGATTGATGAGGTACAGCCAGATTTAAAGGTTCTTTTTTATTTGCTTTTATATTTACAGGAATTAAAACTAAAGGTTAGGGATGAGCGAGTACACCACTATTTGTATCTGTATCTGTTCAACCAACTAAATTATCTGTATCTGTACTCGGAATGGGCGTGGTATAACCCGGAAGTGGGCGTGGTTTACATCAATATATTATTTTAAGTCTGAAATTGATATGTAATGATCAGAAGTTGATATGTGTATTGTTTATTTGAAAACTATTTACAGAGCAGCCTCAGAATTGAGATTAAATATTTTTCGATTAAATTTAAAAAAAACTATAATCATCCCCGAGGGGCAATTGTTTCAGTACAGAAGAATTGGTACTGTGGTCATTTGCAACAATAGTAAAGGAACTATTACAGATCAAGTGTTTCAATAAAATCAGAACATTAATATTTAAGTTTATGGATTAATACATCTGAACTCATGCAGTAGGAACTAGGAAAATATGAAATGCTAGAACCAGACACAACTTTATGTATATATTTTTATTTTAATTTGATTACACTGATTTTTTTTCTTAACGTTCTTGGCATTTTGCCCCACACAAAGTTAAGCAAAACAATGTTGATTAAGGTGTGTGTGTCTGAGAGAGATAGAGAGGGTGAGAGGGAGAGAGATGGAGTTTAAAAAAATAAAAAAAAAAACGACCGGAGCGGAGGTAGTGAGTGACTGATGCAGCACGTCAGCTCTGTCTTGTCAAATGCACCATGTAAGTTACGAAAAAAGTAACTTTAAATATTGAACTGAAAAAGAGGTGAGCTGAAGAAAACCTAGGGAAAACTGAAGAAACGTGAGCAACAGTGAAGCAATCACAGTGAGATCCGTTACTGTCTGTGTGTGTGTGCGTGGATGAGCCGGACGGACTGCGCTCCCGGCCGGCTAGAGAATTTTGTGTGTAGGGAGGGGCGGGCGCTCTGTGACTGGCCAATCACAGAGTGTGAAGACAGTCACTTACCCAATGAGGAATTTCCTTCGGCGCGATTACAGATATTTACGAGGTTTACTCATTTCATGCTCATATTCATCAAAAATGCTTTATCCGTACCAGATACTCGTTTGAAACATCCCTACTAAAGGTCGACCGATATTGGTTTTTCTATTTCCTATATCCAGTTCAATAGGTTAGTAATGGCCTAGTACTCAAGTTCTGGACTAGCTGGAGCCGTGAATTTGCTGCCTGACACTGCCCAGCATACAAAGCATTACAATAGTCAAGGCGGGATTTGATAAAAGCATGAACCACAGTTTCCAGATGGACTCTTGACAAGAGAGGTTTATTCTTGGAAAGCCATCTAAGATTTAAAAAGCATGCCCGGACAACCATGTTTATTTGTGCGTCAAATTTAAGGGCTGCATCAATTTTCACCCCCAAGTTTGTGACCAGTCTTCTCATTTTGAGCCAGGGAAGCATGATCAACCTCAGCACTTGCTCTAGCTCTTTCACCAGGATTGAGTATTATGACCTCAGGTTTGGACTCATTTAGGAAGAGGAAGTTAGCAGCCATCCATGACTTAACATCCGTTAGACAGTCCAATAATGCAGACAGAGAGCCTCCGAGCAACCGGCAAATAGATTTGGCAGTCATTTGCATAAAAATGGAACTTAACGCCATGACACAGCAGAAGGACCCTGAGGGGCAGGAGGTATAGGGTAAACAGAAGGGGGTTGAGGACAACAGCATCACCCTTATCACCATCTAAAAATGCATTAAGAACCATTAAAAGAGCAGTCTGTGCTGTGTCCAGCTCTGAAGCCTGACTGGAATTTCTACTAAATGTCTCGAGGGTTCAGGAAGTCCACTAGTTGTAAATAAACAACCTCCAAAAGCTTAGAAAGGAATGGGAGCTTTGAGATTGGTCTGTATTTGGCTAAAACTGATGAATCCAGTCCAGGTTTTTTTAAGGTAGGACACAACTGCTTTTTTCAGAGAGCTTGGGACCACACCTTCATGTAAACAGCCATTAATGATCTTTTCAATAAAAGTGGCCAGATATAAAAATGTCTCCTTGAAGAGTCTTGGTGAGAGAACAATGATCTCCCAGTCCCTCCTTCCCTCACTTGTAAGCAGGACCCTGAGATACTTGAGCTCCTCCCACTTGAGGCAGGACCTCTCTCCTGACCCGGAGTTGGCAAACTACCCTTTTCCGGTCAAGAACCATGGTCTCAGACTTGGAGGTGCTGATCCTCATCCCAGCTGCTTCACACTCTGCTGCAAACCTCCCCAGCAAGAGCTGTAGGTCAGAGCCTGATAAAGCTAGGAGGACCACATCATCTGCATAAAGCAGAGATGAGATTCTTCTGCCAGCAATCTCCACACCCTCAACACCATGGCTACACCTAAATTTCCTGTCAATAAATATTATGAACAGGACCGGTGACAAAGGGCAGCCCTCACTGGGAACAGGTCCGACTCAAAACAGCCCAAGAGAAATTATAGTATTGTTATGCCGTGTCAGCCTGTACAGATTCTTGCTAAACCTTGTTTCATTAACCAGAGTGACTTGAATTTGTAAAATTCAACATTAAGAATACTGGAAGGAAACTTTGGTCTACCTTTGAGTTGGATGTTTTCTTGTTGTTTGCTTGTTTCTTCTTAGAGACGCAATGGATATTCGGAGAAAATAAATGTCAAAATGTCCCCAAAGGACAGGTAGTCGAAGGGTTAGTTAGCTTGTTAGTAAAGGGGAGGTAGCTATCATTAAATCCTAACCCAGCTCACATATTCCTGGTGGTGTTGTTAAATATTATTATTAATAATTATATTATTATCAGCAAATTTAAAATCTTTTTTTCATTGATTATTTAGTTTTAGAGCTCAATGTTTAAGTTGTGAATTTAAAAACATTCATTTCAAATATTAAATTACCTGCACTAGACTAGCCTCTATCAATCTTTGCCTCTTCTCAGAGGAACAGAAAGTTGTTAGCAGAAGGTAAACAAAGGCTTTTCTACTCTGAGACCCGGGACACGCAGAAAACATGCAGCCACAGAGGCTTTCAAGGACCAGGGGCCTCATTTATGTAGCTTGCTTACGCACAAAATGGGGTCGGAAAACTGTGCAAGAAACTTTCCACGCAAACTTTGGGATTTATAAAAGAAAACGTAGCGGAAAAATGTGCGCAACTTTTAGTTGACTAAGGACCTGGCTTACGCACATTTTGGACATGGGGAGCCCCTGCTGTGCTGCTGCTGAGAGGGATACAATTAGGAATTCCAGCAGCATTCTCACTTGTACCGCTTCGTGCACACAAAGAACAAGCCCCCCCGCGCACACAGCCTAAAGCGCAGAATATGGAATGAGACAGAGTGCCATGCGTCTGTGACAGTGTGAGCGTCCTGTCACTGTGACCCAATTGATCATACACCCTGGCTACTTGGCCAAAGGGGATGTCCCTTTGGCTGATTGGTTAGCGCACGTGACTCTCACCCGGGAGTCTACGGATCGGATCCCGCCCGAGCCATCGCTTCTCCGCCTTGCCACATGTCATTTTAGAACCAACACTGAAGGCAGGACTTTCATCTTTTATTTTCTTGCCAATTCTTTAAGTGTTCCTGAAATATCAGTCAGGACATCACATTTTGTGCAGTTCTTCTCGCACTTCGTTCACCGCACTAATCATGACCCTCTGTGCCTGCAGGACAGCACCAGGTAGCACCCTGCCATTTCCAGGTGCTCCCCAGGTGTGCCCAAGGCACACTGGTGAGGCAGCCACATCTTCGTTCGCTGCCCGGGATGCCTCGTTGGACGCTTCGTCCAGAGTCACTAGGGAAAACGAGATTTGGTTTTGTTTTATATTTTATGACGGACACATTTGATCTGTAATAATGAAAGGCTTACCAGTCTCCTCTGCATGGTCAGTGTCTCCCTCAATCTCCGGCACAATGCCACACACGCTTGCTGGTCAGAGTACTGCTGAGATCCTAACGGCGAGCGGTGGGAGATCAGAGGTGCTAGGGCCTCCACCAGTGGCAGACACACGCTGGCAGTGGCACAACATGTTTTTTTTATTATTATTATTATTTTATTTTTTGCCTCCACCTTCAGATGGGCCCATTTTTTGTATATATCTGCCACAGATCACTCTGACGAACTCACAGCATTGACGGCTTCAGCAACGCTGTGCCACTCCATGGATATTCTCTTATTTGTTTTACAAAAGCACTTCCTTTCATTTTTCCACCTCACCCACAAATACCTCAATTTCTGCTTGTGAAATAGTGTTTCCTTGATCTGCTGTCACCATCATTGATGGTGAAATGCTGCATCAAGCTGGTTTATGTATATGCATGAGATCCACAAGGCACTTTGCATTGACCATTTATGGCTGAAAGTGGGCGTGTTGAGGGCGGGATGTGATCCAAAAAAACCTGAGAACATTTCTAGGTAGTTTGTGATTTATAAAGTGGAGATTGCGTGAAGCTGTCCGTACTCCATGTTTTAAAGGTTGCAAACCTACTTGGCGTAAGTGTATATTTTGCTGAGCTTAAGTACGGTTTTAGTAAGGATTCTACGCAATGTTTTTAAATTAGACCCCTGGTCTGCTCCCCTGTAGTAATGTCTAAAATTACTGGCACTTTAATTTGCAGCAGCATGCTTGGGAGGGTGTGTGTTTCTGTGCGACCACTTTCCTCGATGTGGATTTGCCAAGCATGCATGGGGGGGGGGTCACCTTTTTCACCCTTGACCCATTTTCATGTCTTTTGGAGATGAATGAAAGTTATGCGGCCATCCGTGTTTTACATTCCCTGTGACATCCAATAAAAACTGCAGTCTAAACAAATGGCCTGCTCTGCACAGACCCTCATGAGAACAGTTTCAAACTCAGAACACCATCACCACCAATGTCTGTGAGGGAAGGAGATGGAAGTCTCCTCTCTTCCCATCCTCTTCCTTGTTCCGCACACAGAGTGAAATCCTGTCCCATACAGGAAAACAATTAAATCTATAAAACTGGAGCTAATATGTTACGCAAACAAGCAGCAGATAATTTAAGACTGTCTATAAAGTTGACAACAAACAGCAGCATTCTGCCAGTTAGCAAAGGTTCTTAGGGTTCGTTTTTCTTTCACTCAGTAAAGTATTATTTCATTTTTTTTTTTTTTACTTTCAATTCAAATACATCTGTAGAATTCTGAAACACCAAAAAAGAAGCCTTACATTTTAATCCAAGGAAAATACTCCCAATGTTTTGGACTAGGGTCCTTCACATTTAGCCACGCTGCCCGTAGAGGTGCCTGACTAAATTGGCTCTATTAAAGAAGTTTATTGGCTGATGCCAATAATGAAAAATTCTAAAAATCGTCCAGATTGTTCAGCCTTACCAATAAATCGGTCGACCCCTAAGCAAAACTCTTGTTGATGCGTGATTTCTAAAAGTAGCTGTTGTTGAATTTGTTTTGTGATGGGTGCATATAGGTGGAGAGCCTAACAGCAGCCCGGAATGCTTCCCAGGCTGGAACAGAGCCTTCTGATGCCATTCGAGTGGTCAACTCTGTCCTCACTCAGCTAGATCAGATCAAACGGTCAGAAACCACAATACGTCTTCTGATGGAAGTTTTCACTTTTTCCATTCATAAAATTAGTTTTTATTTATATTTTCATTTCATAAACTTGACTTTGTTGTGCTCAGTATTTTAGTTTTGTGTGGTGTCTTGATTTTTTCAGGCATTCCAATGTGGTCATCCTGACAACTTCCAATGTGACAGAAAAGATTGACTTGGCGTTTGTGGACAGAGCTGACATCAAGCAGTATATCGGCCCACCATCCGAGAAAGGCATTTATAACATCTACCTCTCCTGCCTTGAAGAGTTGATGAAGGTGAAACAAGCAATTAGCCAACAATTTTTTTCCTCTTGTTTTGTGTTTTTTTAAAACAGTGGGACACACATTTATTTCTCTAATTTCGTGTCACAACGCAAAGGAATTACCATCAGCAGTATTTTCTCTCCTTCACCTACAGTCTCTATTTACTTAGATGGAGACTGTGAAAATGTCATGTCTTTTTTCTTTTGTGGAGAAAGTCATTGACATGAGATCTACCATCCCTTTTTCTCTTCTTGCTCACCAAAAAAAAACTTAAATAATGAGCAAGAATCTGCTTCGAGACCTACAGAAAGATTGAGAGAAAAGGGGATACACAAAATACAACAAAACCAAAATATAACAGTGCCCACAACATGACGGTATGTAACTTTTACTGAAAAGAACACATAAAAAAATCGTACTGCATCAAGTGCCAGCTTGATGCAGTATGAATAAGGCTTTGGTCACCTGTTAAAATGCCTAAGCTCATACTTGTGAGAACACCATGTGAGCACCTGTGGTCATTGGTAAATAATTTATTTGTGTAACACTCATCACAGACAGAAAATCACCAAGTGCTTAAAAATAGATAAAAACAAGACAAATCATAAAGTTGTAAAACCATGATAGTCCTAAAACAGAAATAAATAAAATTCAGAAAAACAAAGTCATAAAATTATAAAATGCTGTTAAACAAATGAAAGGTGATTACAAATTTGAGTTTAAAATAAGAGAATAAAAGATTTAGGTCAAAGCAGCTTTAAATAAAAGGGTCTTCAGACTGTCAGTACTGTGTACGAATAAAGGAAGATCATTTCAAAGTTGGGGTGCAATAGCCTGAAAGGAGAGATCACCTCGACTTTTAAATCTGGTCTTTGGAACTTCTAGAAGGTTCTGATTTGTGGACCTGAGGGCTCGAGATGGAGCATTAACTTTAACAGTTCAGTAATGTAGGGAAGGGCTTGACCATGTAGAGCCCTTAAAATGTTAGGAGTCTTGCTGCAGAGTTCTGGACCGACTGAAGGGGGTCAAGGACTTTTTTGTTAAAAAATGTGAAAAGTGTGTTACTGAAATCTAGACGAAAGACAATAAAGGCATGAATAACCATTTCAAGTTCATGTTTTGACACCAACCTTTGCAGTTTGGAGACATTTCTTAAGTAATAAAAACAGTTCCGGACCAGTGTTTTTGAGTGGCTTTCAAGAGACATACAGGGTTTCTTGATGAGTCTAAAAAGGTCTAAAATTCATAAACTTAAAGGAGACATAACACACTTTTAAGTTATTCCTTTTTACATCTAAATCCTTCAGTTGGGGGTCTAAATACAGTGGAACTGCAGTTCTTTGGTCTGATTTCCTCATTATTGTTGCTCTACAGACCCTCATCTACCCCTGTTCTGAGGAGAGTCTTGAGAACGAGCTGTTTTTGGGTGATGTCTCTTTAAATCTGGAGGAGGAGCTGTAAACTCCGCCCCCCTCCATAGTGCAGATCTGTACTCTCCTCCCCCAGTCGGACTTTGTAGTTCTATAGAGAAATCATTATTTAGCATAGCATATTAGCATTTTTAAAACACGTGGGGAGAGTAGTTCATCAATCTGTTTCAAGGCTGCTAACTCTCTCATGCATTTGTCTGTAGTCACTCACACACACCCGTCACGGCCGACGGAGGGACAAGCGAGCAGGCACGTGCGCGCGCACCCACACACACAAGGAATGCTGCTTGCTTATTTATTTCTATAAAAAATGTTTTAAAAAATGATACAGCTCATTAAAACACCATTAAAAGAATATATTTTATTAAGATCTCTATCTATCTATATATACATACAAATAATTTTAATAAGTAGTCTTATTTTATATTGGGTGTCTTAATGGCTGAAAATGGATAAAAATCAGTTACATTTTAAAGATTTGAGATTCTAGTCAAAAATAAAGAACATTCCTCCAAATGTTCTTTAATGTGATCATTATAATTCTAATGCTTACAACTTTCTTTTTATTGTCTGCAATGCGTAGCCTATATCTTTATTAAATGTGCGTTTAGCTGTAACGTGGTAATTCTCTCTAATGTGTACACACAGGTGGACATCAGTGCTGCAGTGAAATTCCCAAGATCAGTCTGCTTTGCTAACAAATATAGTTAAATCTGACCTGCATTCTAAATAAATACCGTTAGGTGAAAACATCAGTAGGCATTGAGTTATTGATACAATCCCTAACAGCCAGAATGGAAGAAGAGCATGCTGGGTCATCCTGGACCTGAGCCTGTTCTGTGTGTTTACCTACAGGGTGCAATAAATGTCTACAAGGCTGAATTTGGACCATTACATCTAAAAGAAAACATACAATCAGTGATTTTTTAAATTGTTTATATTAATATACAAATTTTCTAATATTAACCTCACAGCAAATAAGTAGAACTATATAATAAACAGGCTTTAGTAGTTAAACAGGCGTTGTGCACACAGGCGCTTTGGGTCCCAGTGCTGGTGGTATCTAGGTCTCAGAGTTCCTGTCCTCCTGCCGTCTTCTGTTGTCCTCAGGATACGGATTGATGTTTCCTGATGATGAGGAAGGGGCAGTATGTGGGCTTCAAACTGGTCCTGGATAACAGTGGGAGACCTCCGTTGTCTTAATACTGAGACCAGAGGGTTGGTGAGATGCTGATCTTCTCTACCTCATCTAGAAACGGAGTTGGTTCAGGGAAAACTTTTCCAAAGACCAGTTCCATGATGTCATCGCCATATTCTGCAATGATAGACAATAACTTTAATGACATATTTTGTTTACAAGCAGCTTTAGGAAAGTTGGTTCTTTAGCTTTCATGTTTATAGTCACGTTTGTGTTTGTTCACAAGTTCACTTTGCTGCAGTGACTTCATATTCTTACAAATGTAATAAAATAGTGACACTAAAATTATACAAATGATTCCTTATGAAAGGAAGCTCATTAGAGAGCAGCGCAGACAGACTTACTACATGCTGCAGCTGTTTTTGTAGGCCAGCTGCTGCTGAACTTGGGGAAAGTTATTCTGCACACGTCCAGATAAGATGGTCGATTACAGAAAATAATGTAATTCAATAATTTCTGAACAGACTAAACAAGTAAAACATCAAATAAATCACTCTGCTGTCATCAGACGGAGTGATTCAGGGGGTGAGGTGTTCTTAATGATGAGGGTGGCTGAGGTGTCATCACTCACTTTGGTCTGGTCCAGACCGTCTCTTTACTGGTGGGTCTCCTTCCTCAGTAGGTGATGTGAAGCTCCAACATCTGAACGTTCTGTGTTCCTTAGAGGAGAAGAAAAGTAACATTAGCACTGGCTAAATTATTTTTACTAGCATCTCAAGGCCTTGGAGAAGCAGATCTTCACTTACCTAAACATCAGACCAGTTTGTCCCAGCTGAGCTCATCAGGGCTTTAGTCTGACAGCCTGTCAGTGAAACACGGCTCCAGGCTTCTGGATGTGGACTCTAAAAAGCAAAGGAGCATTTTTACTTTTGTTTAAATTATTTTACAGCCGATTTTATCAGCTTTCCGACGCTCACGCTCATACAGACGGTGAGCTTTGCTGCGTCTGACTGATGCAGAGTTAGTTTTTATATCTGCAGTGAGACAAAAACTAACCTCACTTCACACAGAGATCGTTCTTTAAAACTCTATTAAATCCACTGTGTTGACGCACTTTAATGACTGTCACGCTGCATTTTAGCTGATATGGGACTTTATTTACTGGATGCTAAGATTACATCACACTCACGTAGAATAACACACAGGCTCTCTGCTGCTACAATCAGTGGGAGGTTATCATCTGGTGTAAAAGAAGGCGTTGATCAGAAATCATGTTTTATTCCACGAAAATCAGCCAAATCCACATTAATCTGGGTGCTAACTTTACTAGCATACTGTGCTAGCGATAGCAAGCCGGATGCTAACGCTTTAGTGCTGCTAATGCCCGTAAATCTAAAGTAAAGTTTGTCGACATTTTAGAGTTATATGAAGCTTACCGCTCTGCTGCTGTGTCCCGTCGCTGCCACATTCAGATGGAAATGACTCCTTTTAGATAGATGAAGCCCTCAGTACTTAGCCACTAGCCTGGAGACACGAACGAACGAACCACGCGCGCGCGCGCACACACACACACACACACACTACTTTTTCTTCTGTGTTTTTTTAGCAGTAGTGTCATCAGCTCCTGGGTTTAAATACTGCCACACCACCCTTCCTTAAAACGAGGAACAGTTTTGAGCTGTGTGTGGCTAAAATAACCAGACATTCTGCATTTTTCCAATAGGACTACAAAAAATCTTAGCGAGAAGAAAAAATGGCGGATTGGCTCTGTGTTTAGCCGAGGGCCATTACCATATTTGGTAGTTATCCTGATGAAATAAATTACTGATGTAATAGATAATTTGAAAAACTGAACGGGTGGACAAATATGCCCAAAACTTAATTATTAAATATCTAAATAGCAACTCCAGTGAATAATATAAGCCTTTTTGCTCACTTAGACACTTAAAATGTGAAACACACTGTGTTAATGGATAAAAAAGTGGGTTTTTCATGTTATGTCTCCTTTAAGGTTTTAAAAAGTCTTTAAAATGCTCTGACTTTTGTCTAGAATCTTAAATTTTCTTGGGTCAAGTCTTAATTTTTAGGTTGTTTAATCCCAGCAAGCGTTCACTATATAAAATTGTAAGACTCTGTTAACTAGTATCTGCCTTTTTTTGAGGAGCTGTGTTGTACAACATTACAAGTCTCGCGATAACTGCAGGCTATAAACGCTCATTTCACGTGGAGAGTTTGTAGCGTGTTTGCTGCTAGCTAAAATCTGATGAGACAAGTCTACTGCTTGTTACCAAAAAAACAGGAAAGTGCGTGTTCAACGAGAGCTGGCTGTCCCCGGCAATCGATACGAAGCTTGCTGTAAACTTTGCAAGAGGACTATCCAGTTAGGGACCTTGGGTGTAAAGACACTCAAGTCTCACTCGCTCGTATTTTGCCTAACAAACGTTAAAGTAAGCATGCTCATTCTGGTGTGTGTGAACAGGTTTATGAATGACGTTTTGTCCCTGTTTGAGCTCCAGATCTCCACGGAACTAAAATATCCTGTTTAAAAAGACTATAAAAAGTAGACCCTGCAGCTGCTGTAGGCAGTAGCTGTCAATGTGACATCTACTTTTCTATGCGTATGCCGTGTAGAGGATGGATGTCATGGTGAGTTCAATTTACCTCAGAAAATATACAACTGCACATAACATTGATTTCAGATGGACCCTTACAAGTTAATCTTGTAAAAACAAAAAACACATTTCTACCACAGCTAATAGTGTTATTACAACCAGCTGCTATAGTGAACCTCACAGTTAGATTAAAAAACATTCTCTGACTGTGGGGGGGTGTTCCAGTTCATCATTTCTATTAGGAAATGGGAATTTCTAAGTATGGGTTAAACTGGAAAAAACTAAAATCTAGAACATTATTTATTTATTTTTAACTCGTTAATTTGAGGCAGGTTGTTGCTCTTGATTACCCAAGTTCTATAACATTGTCTATCTTTGGGTAAACAAGTCACAACATTTGAGAAGTTACTTAATTTAAAGATAATTAAATATTTTGCACTTTGAGGTACATCCTAGTTTCCTACCTCAGCCTAGTTCTTCGCTCAGATTTATTAATATTTAATCTTTTTGTGAAAGCCATTCAAGCAGTTTTTCCTCATGATATTAAGAATATACAGGCTGTGTGTGTGTGTGTGTGTATATATATATATATATGTATATGTGTGTGTATATATATGTGTTAGGGTTGTCACGGTGTGAAAATTTAACCTCACGGTTATTGTGACCAAAATTGTCACGGTTTTCGGTATTATCGCGGTATTTTTTTAAACGGGGTACATTTTCAGACAATTCAATAAACCCTGTATACCAGGAAAATATTGTCCTCAGTTTGTGTCTAAATTTAGCCTAAAATGTGTTATTTTGTAATTATGTTGTTTATTTGTTTACATTTTTCCCTTTAGTCTTTAAAATACAATATTTGCCCATAACTTCTTATTTTTTGTCTGTGTGATGTCATCATTTTAAAAATATTAGACCAGATTACACTAAGTACTCAAGTAGCCTTCTAATCAGATACTTTTTTACCCTTACTTGAGTAATAAACCCTATATCAGGAAAATATTGTCCTCGGTTTGTGTCCTTCCAGTGAGCTTTGCAGATGTGGGAAAATGTCATCAGGCAGTAATCATTGTTAAATTCATAATTATTCTCGGAGAGAGACCAACTCTTATCTGCCCCTGGGAGCCCCGTAATGCATAGCGTCATTTCAATATTGGGGGTGTCCGCGACACGGTTTATATGCAGGTAGCGGCACTGCGGCTGCTTTATATAGCGACTCGTTGCATTCTCCCTCAACCCAAATCCTCGGATCATGCATTTTAGCTAAAACGCTAACGTTAGCTTGCCTTGCGTTGACTGTAGAGTTGTGGGTGATGGTCACGCAGATGTGTCATGAGATTTGAAGCGTTGCTGCCTTTCACAGACACTTTTTCTGCACGTGCTGCAAACCAGATAGCCGTCTTCTATCAACTGTCCCTCGGCATTCTTCAAATATCCAAAAGATGCCCGTACTTCCCACTTTGTCTTGTTTGAGGGATAAAAAATGTCCTCTTGAGCACTGCCATCTCCTCCTTTGGCCATTATTTCAGCTTTAGCTTCAAGAAAGTTTAGGTCGTAAACAACAAAGTGCGCATGTGCCGCCGGCAACTTCAGCAGATGATACGGTGGCTGGTAAGGGTCACCGCGCCTACACCGCAGCCACGGTAACCCACCGAGATAATATATTTTTTTAAAAACAAGACGTTATTATTATTGTCAACTTTTTTACCGGGGTTTACCGCTACACCGGTTACCGTGACAACCCTAATATGTGTATATGTATCTATATGTGTAGATGTATATGTATATATATATATATATGTATATATATATATATATACATATGTATATATATATATACATATGTATATATATATATACATATGTATATATATATATATATATACATATGTCTGTATGTGTGTGTGTATGTATATGTGATTTTTTGTGTATATATGTATGTGTATATGTTTATATGTATATATATATATGTATATATTTATATATATATATGTATATATATGTGTGTGTGTGTATGTATATATATGTATATATGAATATGTATATATATGTATGTATATGTATATATATATATATATATATGTATGTATGTATGTATGTATATATATATATATGTAGCGGTAAACCCCAGTAAAAAAGTTGACAATAATAATAACGTCTTGTTTTTAAAAAACTATATTATCTTGGTGGGTTTACCGTGGCTGCGGTGTAGGCGCGGTGACCCTTACCAGCCACCGTATCATCTGCTGAAGTTGCCGGCGGCACATGCGCACTTTGTTGTTTACAACCAAAACTTTCTTGAAGCTAAAGCTGAAATAAAGGCCAAAGGAGGAGACGGCAGCGCTCAGGACATTTTTTATCCCTCAAAGAAGACAAAGTACGGGCATCTTTTGGATATCTGAAGAATGCCGAGGGACAGTTGATAGAAGACGGCTATCCTGTTTGCAGCACGTGCAGAAAAAGTGTCTGTGAAAGGCAGCAACGCTTCAATTCTCATGACACATCTGCGTGACCATCACCCACAACTCTACAGTCAACGCAAGGCAAGCTAACGTTAGCGCTTTAGCTAAAATGTGTGATCCAAGGATTTGGGTTGAGGGAGAATGCCACGAGTCGCTATATAAAGCAGCCGCAGCGCCGCTACCTGCATATAAACCGTGTTGCGGACACCCCCATGTTGAAATGACGCTATGCATTACGGGGCTTCCAGGGGCAGATAAGAGTTGGTCTCTCTCTGAGAATAATTATGAATTTAACAACGATTACTGCCTGATGACATTTCCCCACATCTGCAAAGCTCACTGGAATTATACAAACCCAGGACCAGGGGCGGATTTAGGACTGAAGAAGATCCGGGGCTTAACACACACACACACACACACACACGCACTAGTCAACATCATATATATTTTTCTTGTACCACATAATTTTCAATCTGAAGCTGCATATTAAGCATATTCAGGGCAGAATATTGTTCCTGTTTGTGTTTACTGTGAGATGATAGTTAATATTCCCTTTCTTTCTCCAACAACTTTACCTGATAGTAAGCTAACTTTAGGCAAACCAGCAGCACAACAAATATTTTCAAATAAGATTCAAAAACCTGAGTCAACACCAGTCTCATCAAAGCTGGGGTTCTGTCGCCGTACTTTTTGTCTAAAAAATGTCCTTATGTCCATCTTCACTCATGCGTTTCAGGCAGAGAGTGTAGAAGAAGCCAGCTGCTGAAGGGCTGCTTCTTCAGTGGTGGAGGCTCAGGCAGGCTGTATACAAACTACTGCCAGCTGCTCCCTCTCTGTTGGATTTTGGTATTGCATGTTACTTCCACGTTTGAGATCCGGGGCTTTTCATAAAACATTCGGGGCTTGAGCCCAAGTAGCCGGGCCTAACGCCGCCCCTGCCGAGGACAATACTTTCCTGATATAGGGTTTATTACTCAAGTAAGGGTTAAAAAAAAGTATCTGATTAGAAAGCTACTTGAGTACTGAGTATCATCTGATCTAATACTTTTAAAATGATGACATCAACTAGACAAAAAATAAGTTATAGGTAAATATTGGTATTTTAAAGTCTAAAGGGGAAAAATGTAAACAAATAAACAACATAATTACAAAATAACACATTTTAGGCAAAATTTTGACACAAACTGAGGACAATATTTTCCTGATATATAGTGTTTATTTAGTTGTCTGAAAATGTAACACGTTTTTAAAAAATACCGCAATGATACCGAAAACCGTGATAATTTTGGTCACAATAACCATGAGGTTAAATTTTCACAGCGTGACAACCCTAATGCAGACCAAATCGAACAGGCAGAACCGAGACGGTTAAACACTCCCCCGTGAACCGTTATACCCCTAAGACCTCTTATGATGATTAATATAAATGGACACAGTGTTCCCTCACCTGGATGCAGGTAACCGGAGCCCCCCTCTGAAGCCAGGCCTGGAGGTGGGGTACGCCAGCGAGTGCCTGATGGGCAGGCTTTGACACATGGACAGGGTTCCCACGCGTCCTGGAAAACCTGGAAAATGATAGTCCAATTTTCCAGTCATGGAAAACACATGGAAAATGGGGGGAATTGCAAAATGTCCTTGAAATTTTTGAATTGTCCTGGAAAATAATTTTCCCTCCTTGTGGATAAGCAAACAGATTAAACATTTTGGGCAATTTTGGGCTGTAGCGCTTCTCCTTTAATTTCTGCATCTAGCTGGCACAGCGCCCCACATGACGCTTCCAACCAATCAGATTGCATAATCCCCTTCAGTTCCAGTTCCACTTCTGTTTTTCCAACTGTCTTTTTGGCTAGATTTACAGATTTTTCACCCCTAGATTTATTTCTCTAAAGAAGGGCCAAAAGTAGCGACTTGGTTCACGAGTATTGCTTTATCTCAGTTTATAGAGTGAGAGGTTTTT